GGAGCCTTCACTTTTACCTGGAGAGCAATGGAAACCTAAGGCCCAGCCGGCTCAACCAGGTTCACTACGATGCCCCTTCCCGCATCACCATCGCCTGCCTTCCGAGTCTAAACCACCGTAGTGCCCGTATGGCTTGCTAGACATTACATACAAACAGTCCTCCTGCTCCGTACAGAGTACATGTCACTCCCCTGCTGCCCTTCTCCTCTCCTTCGTAGTGTCCCCTCCGTCCAACGCCCCCAAACGTCGGCCGAGCTTTGCCTTACGGATACCCTCCGCGCGTGGTCCTCACCTCCTTCATCTTGGACCGATCTATGGAACCTTGAGCCCGGACTGGCTACACAGGTGCAGGTACCTCGACACTGGGTCAACCTGGATCTGATCTTGAGTCGAGTCAACACTCGCATGCGCATCTCCAGCTCCCCCATACTGCAAGCCTTCTTATTCTTAACCCCTTCCCCATCCCGTCGCCCCTAGCCTTCTCGCATTCCACTCCTACCTACCCCGAGGTTTGCTTTTTCCAAATCATATATACTTGGATTGGCCCCCTCGTAGCTTTGAAAGACTGCACATACATCTTTGTTGTTATTACGATCATTCTACCCCACGTACGAGCAGCATATCTTCGTTACCGCCTTGCAACGAACCGGTTATAAGACGACCACTTATAATCACAACAAACAGCGTCGTCGTCCACGCAACCTCAGACATCATCCTCTCCTTGGACCGCTGCGACCTGATCGAATAGCATCTCACACTATCGATGGGCCCTTTCGTCTTCCTCAACAAGACACAATCAAAGAATCGGACCTACCGTCGAGTCGCAGCACCTTTGCAAAGGAACAATTCCGCTGTCACCAACACTGCCGCCGCCGGTCGGATTTAGTTCCTCGAACACCGGACGCTAAGAACCGTAGGGCTTTGCGTGCCTCCATTACGTGTTGCCCCTTGGTTAAGAAATCGCCTCTGCCGGCCTTCGATCCGAATCTACTGGTCATTACCAATACCGAGCCGTCTCTCTTCCGTCGTCTCCGTCGTCGTCGTTCCCGTTGTCGCCCCCATCGGCCCCCCAGCCCACCTTTATTTGCCTCCCCGGTCACCCACGGTGAATTGCCAGCAGCCCAGTGCTTCTGGTACGCATACTATTTTATTGGCCCAAACTCTCCAGCAGCCGACCAGGTACACAACGGCCATATACCTTTTGTCGAGTCCTCCTCACAAAACGCAGTTGACCTTTTGCGACTGCAGCGACAACAAAAAGATCGAGAGAGTAACAAAAAAAAAAAAGCTACTCGGCAACGCAAGAACCAGGAACACCAGCTCCTCACACACGGAATACACCCCTCCCCCTCTGCATCACACTCACTACTAGTCGAGACCGGACTCGATCTCCTTTTTCGGGGCGCATCCGCCGGCTGCAGCAGGTGGCCCGATTTAATAACTACCCACAAAAAGGGTCGAGAAACGTTCTGGGTGCCACGGTCCCCTGCCTAACCCAATACAACGGCTACTTCCCAGCTGACATGAGGAGCGCCTTTCGCTGGTTAAACCCAACAAGTACCGAGGACCCGTCCAACCGGTCCACCGCCGCCGCCCACAACAGACAAGACAGGCGCACGCCCATTACAAGTGACTGCGCCAGCGCCGATAATATTAGTTATCGTGCGTCGGCGTCCTCATCTGCTTCTGACAACGCCTTCGCTTCTCCTTCACCAGGCTCCTCCAACTCAACCTCTCTTACCCCCAACTCGCCTTCCCCTCAACCCCTCACACCCACCGACTCTTTTGACGTGCCTGATTCCCGTCCAAGCGTGTGGTCGTCCAAGCCAATCACCATCGCCACGCCCACTCGCGATCTCTCACGCTCCCCCTCAGCTGTCCCCGCCAAATCCAGCTTCGAAAGAAATCCCTTCCAGCTGCCCGACGAACTCCTCAACTTTCCTCCCATCCCGACCAAGAGCATCGATATGACCACTGGCCCCGCCATGGATTCGGCCATGGGTCGGAGTCGTCAGGACTCCTTTGTCAGTGCTGGCCCCAAGCCCATTTCTATGGCCAACCCCAATCGCGATCATGTCAACCGCCAAAGACGTGAGAGTCTCGGTCTTGCTGGCAGCCTGATGGGCGGCAATTCCAGCTGGGCCCCCATGTCATTCGGTAGCTTCATTCGCGACGAGTAAGTTTGATCCTGTCTACCCCTCAAGAGACGCGCCTCCTCGGCGTCGCCAAAACCACAAATTTCGTGAGACTCGCGCAATACAGTATCCCCTCACCTCCTCCAGAACAATAGATCGCTGATTTTGTTGCGCTAGTATTGCCATGGCCGGCACCTCGCCCTTTGCTCACCAGGCATCGCCATCTTTCCACTCCGGCTCGTACTTGCCTAAGCTGGAGGCCAGCTTCATGAAGGACTTCACCTGCTGCGGCCTTAACCTACCCAACCTGCACGATCTTCTCCAGCATTATGAGGAGTCGCATACTCAGCCGAGCCCGAATACTGCGCGCAATGCGCCCTTCTCGGTCATGTCTACACAACCGTCTTCCAGAGCAAGCAGTGTAAGACCGCAGACTCAGCAACAAAATACGGCTTCCTTGTCTCAACTCGGCCAACAGAGCCGTCCGGGTTCGAACCTGGGTGGCGGCATCGGAGGCATCGGCATGCAATTAGGCCAGCAAAACATGTCGGGCCAGCAGAGCCAAATGTCACATTTGGATGAGATGGAGACCGTCGGCGACATGGAGATGGATGACGCGCTTGGGCACATGGAAATGGACGACAGCCAGACCCAGCAGCGAACAATGTCCCAAACTCGCACAATGTTCGGTCAACAGCAAAGACCGCAGCTGCATGTCAACGCCTCGGGCCTCACTCAGGGATTGCGGACATCTCAGCCAGCGACGCCTGCAGCCGCGAGCTTTGGCCTGCAGCACAACCCCACCGTTTCCTCCGTAAACACGCCTACGCTCACCACGCAGCAAACGCCTCAGCAGCAACGGTCGAACAACGGTTTTCTCCAGAACTCTCAGATGCAGTCTATGGATGACATGGACGAGGATCTGCCCGGCATGCCAATGGGCGGCAACATGGAGCTGAATGGATCAAACTTTGGGGATTTGAACCTTGGCAACTCCAGCACGAACCCCGAGTTCTGCATCAATGATCCTGCCAAGCACCTCTATAGTCCTGGCGGCGCACTTAGCAACCAGCAACGGGCTATTCAGCAGCACCTTATTGGAATGGGTTTCGATCCAAGCCAGCCCAACAGCCCTGCCAACAAGGCCCTTATCCAGAAGTTTGGCGCAATGATGGTTCCCGAGGAGCACAAGCCATTCAAATGTCCCGTCATCGGCTGCGAAAAGGCGTACAAGAACCAGAATGGCCTCAAGTAAGTTTGCAATGACTCTATTGGTGTGGAACTTGTGCCTGACCATGACTCAAACAGGTACCACAAAACTCACGGCCACCAAACGCAACAATTGCACGAAAACGGCGACGGAACCTTCTCTATCGTCAACCCCGAAACCAGCGCACCCTACCCTGGCACTTTGGGCATGGAGAAGGAGAAGCCGTTTTCCTGCGATGTGTGTGGCAAGCGCTACAAGAACCTGAACGGTCTCAAATACGTTAGTTGTGCCCTATTATCGCACTGGCAAGACGCCGAGGCTGACCCGAAGCACAGCACAAAGGACATTCCGCACCGTGCAACCCCGACTTCAAGTTCCTGGCTGCGGGGCTCCAGAACCTCACTAGCCTACCGGGTCTCATGGAGAATTCCATGTCAAACCTTCCTGGGATCGGCGAGGACCAGATGATGTAGGCGCACAGCGGCAACGTCGTTTGGCGGGATTTCCCCGATCGATTCATCCCCCACGTGGTACTGAACTTTGCCACGGTCAAGGGGATCTATTGAATCCTCAGCAACATCCCGGCTTGGGGCCTGGAAGCGTCCAACCAGAAACCCGATCCCACGGAGTCGGTTTGCAGCATATCGTGCGGCGTTTGATTGCTTTCGCGGACATCTTATTTTCGGTCGATTATCAGCTCGACCAAGTCTGCTCTTATCCGTTTTATACCCTCATAGACTTACTAGTGACGTTTTGCGACCGACCACGATACACCCCCCTCTAGAATTAATACGAGCCTCGGAGACGGCTGGGGACAGACAGCTGCGGGCAATGGAAGGACACCAGTGTTGCTCGACTTCCCAGCGCTTCAGTCTTCTTTGTCAATAGTTGACAACCTCATGTCGGGGTGTCTTTTCGACCTTTTCCCACTGTTGTGGTTGCTACTGGTAACCCCCAATTTCCCGGAAGCACAGGATGTTGTCCAGGAATACGAACGAAGGAAAGAAGGAAAAGCAAAAGGGAAGAAAAGAATTGCATGAAGTGCAGAACGAACATACGTGGCCTGACGGGTCTTTACGAGTTTGGACTATGACGAGGAGAAAAAAGGGCTGGATGGTTGTTTTTACAAAGAATTTGGGTCATTAAGCGGCCTGGCCTCCTTTTCTGGGATGGCGATCTCCCCTCGACAGCGTTTGTAGCTAGGGCAAGGATAGTTGGTTGATGAATGTGATTATGCGGGCGTTGTACGACGGGTACTGGTTGGGAAAAGTTGAAGTTGTATGTTGCGAAGGTTTTTTTTATCAAAAAAATAGACTGAATGGATTGAGCTCTCGCAAAAGAGAACAAGTATCGTATCTTGTGCTGACATCGATATATGGGATATCTCGTCTACAGGTCCTCAACTCCAGCGCGTATCCCTCCTGTAAAGCAGCTTGCATAAAGAATGAACAAGGCAAGCAAACCCAACACCAGCATATGCGATAAACAACTACCCATGCGCCCCATTGGTGATCCCACGTGAACCGCTCCGTCGTCAATTGCAAGCCGTCGAACCGCAGCACAGGCAGTGCCTAGCTAGACGCATGTTCTCATATTTCCTGATGAGAACCACCCCACGTTGGTGTAAATCCATCGACTTGGCTTCATGGCATAACTCATGTCATCTCCATCCCGTCTTCGTCATCGGCCTCGCTGTCAAGAAGCTGCGTGTGGTTGCTACTGATGCTCTCCTTTCGGCTTACAATAGAGCATCCATCGCCGAAGCGGGTGCCAGCCAAACCACCAACGTACTCAAGCTCATCGCCACCAACAACACGCCCCTCCATGTCTATCTCCTGTGATAGCTCGACCAGTGCAGCACGCGGCAAGCGAAGGAAACCCTGAGTCCGAACTATCCGGCCCCAGTGTAGGAGGCAGAATTGTGCCGCACGTTTCCGCAGCCAATCCTCGTTGGCAAGTCCAGCACAGTGCCAGATGATGCAGGCATGGTCGACATCCAGCTCCTTCGACAGCCGGCTCACACAGAGTAACCGCAAATGTGGTATTCCGTAAATGTTAGACATGACGAGTAGCCCGGCCACATCAGACAATTCGGTGGTGGCGCCACTTTCATTTACCGATGTACCGTGAATGCTGTCTGTGTAGAGATAGTAGAGGAATGCTTTCACAACAGTGTAGGGCTCTGGAATATGCATTCTCTTCGTGTGAAACTCAGCCATTTGAGAGTTATAGAGGCGGGCAAAGTGTGGCCAGCGAGCCTGAAGAATAAGCTTGTGAACGTGAATAGGCTGTGAGGTGGGTGCATCAGGGGCGAGCCAGTTCTGATCTGCTGAAGCGTTGACATTTCGGCTTATCATATCGTCGTCCTCATAATCGCCCTCTGACGCGGTGATACTAAAGTCGGTCCCGCTGCCTGTCTCTGGAGGCTGGTCAAAAAGTTTGGCTAGGTCGGCACCAAGGCCTTTGGACGGCTGGTCTATGACTCTCGTAGTTGGCCGGGATTCTGTGCGCGGCTCGGAAGAGATATTACTTCCAAGGAAGCCGTACCGACGAAGATCCATCTCCATAATATCACTAGTCACAGTCAGTATGGTATCCGGCTCATGAGGAGCGGTGCAGCTCACCTTAGGTATTCCTCGAAACCGTTAGGGCCAAGGTCGGCTGCGGCAGGATCGGTGGGACATCCGAGGAGCCACGCCTTCGTGCCATCCTCATTCATCGTGCAATAATGCCAGCGGTACCCGTTTTTGAAAATTTCACGACCTTCGGCAAGCTTTTGCCACCTTAGTGTTGGGAGATCTAAGGCCGACAGTGAGCAATCCTTAGATGTGATGATTGTCGATGGCGTGACGAAATCAAGTAGTGCACCTGACGAGTAGACATGAAAGTGAATCCCAGAACCCTGAGAGGGTATGTTGGGGCCGGACACAAACTTTAAAGACGAGATCGTTCCAGGTGCCATCGGGGCGAACGTCTTGAGTTGAAAAGATGGTGGGTTGACCTGTTGGGTGCGAGAGTTGGCGGCATAACCAGAGGCTCCGACGGCTGGGGGAGGATGGGATAGTGTGTATGGCTGTCTCGGGGAGCCGACTGTTCGACTTGTGCCTGTTTGTCGGTCGAAGATGCCGACATGAGGAGAAGATTCGAAGGCTGGACTGCCTTTCAGATCTAACCACCACAAATCTCCAATCTTGTCCATGTCCTCGGAGAGGCCGCCGAAGACCCAGACTCGGTCGCCCCAGATGTAAGCGGAATGGTCGAAGCGCCCCACGAACCGCCATGAACGAGACCATGTGAAGGTCTTCAAGTCGAGATAGCATATATCATCGAGCACGTAATTGTCATGGCCAGTTATGCCGCCGACTATGAACAACTTGTCTTCGTGGAGAACAGCGGCATGCCTAGCTCGTCCTTTTGGAACGGGGCCCGTCACCTGCGGTTGTGTCCAATGTGCCGTCTTCAAGTCGAACATTATCAGGTCTGAAAGATACGTCCTATGCTCGTTCTCGCCGCCAAAGACAAGCAATTTGTCGCCTTGGTACAAGGTAGCCGTGTGGCCTGCAGTTGATCGTTAGGCGATGACGAGGCAGCGGGATGAAAGCTGCAATTACTTACCCATACGCACACCGGGGATATCGCCGTAATTGTCTACCAGGCTCCATTGATGGCTGATCAAATCCAGCTTGAGAACATGGTTGTACACCTCATCGGTGTATTGGTCAAAGCCTCCAAAAGCGTATATCTGATTGTTGCCGCAGTAGGTGACGGAGGCATTGACGAGACAAGCAGGGCGCTGGCCTAGGGTCCTCGTGATTCGAGGTCGGTATCCATCTAGCGTTCCTCTGTTTTTAATAGGGGAGTTGGGCATGATGTAGGTATTGTTGCTTGATGCCGCGGAACCTGGAGTCTGGTCCATCGGCGACGGCGTCGGCTGCTGCGATGGCGTCGAAGAAGAGGACGACGCTGGTAGAGCCTGGTTCGTCGGGACGCCAAAAAGAGACTGTGAAGGGGGCACTGGAGTTCCTGGTTGAGGCTGCGGCTGAGCCATGGTGAGCGGACAGGGTAGAGTTCTCGAGTGCTATAAAATCATCCCAATCGTGGCCGAGGTCGCAACGAGGATTCGCCGGCCTTGAAGTCTGCGGATACGGAGGTGGAGGGCCGACAGCGAGGAAGAGGAGTCTCGGAGGAGGTTGACACCACAGTGGGTAGTGCAGTGTCGCCTGGTGTCGTGTCGTGTCGTGTTTTGTCGTCGTCTCTGCTCGAGGTTGCGGAGTCGCAGAGACGAGACAAGAGCAGATGCGGATGGGGGACTCGGATGGAGGGTGCAGGCGCGAGTGCAATCTCGATAGAGATAGTGGACAGGCGATAACGAGATGGCGCTGCCGTCGCACGCTGCGATGGTGGAGGTCAAATGTTCCTGCATTGACAATCCGAGGCCTCTCTTAATTTTGGGCAACCACGGGCCACACTCAATGTCCCGCCGCTCAGTGCAGTGGTCCACGTTTGCACCAATGCCGCACCCTGCACACTTGCGCAGGCGCTGCACCTCTGTCGTGGCAACTGCTAGGGAAGGGGCCCCTCCCCTAATTGGGTAGCCCGGTTGACGGCAGCAGCCGGCCCTCAAAAATTTGCTGCTCGTGACTGACTGCCCGTCCACCGCTGGTGCAGTCTGTCATTGGTGGCGTCAGAGGCTCCACTCTGTCAGTCGTGGTCGGACCCCAAGCCGCTTCCGCTTCCACATCCACATCCACCACCGTCCTCTAGGTGAACATGGCCCGAGCGTCGTTGCCCGGCCGCAACAATGGTGGGGCACAAAGTAAATAAAAGAGGTCGAGAGCTCCTGACCAGCTTGAAGACATCTCTTCTCTGTACCAAACCTCATCACTTCGCAAACCTCCTCAAACCTCCTCAATCGCTCTCGATCCAAGCTCTTGAGCTTGGTGATTCTCCCCATCAAACCTCTGTTTCCAAGAACAATCAAGTCCGCTAGATCTCATCGCTGTCATCGGCCATTTGATCGCCCCATCGACTTCGAGCACTTCTTGCGACTGCACCACTTCGACTTTTCGAACAATTAAAACAACGACAAAATACTAACAAACAACACAAATCCAGGAACCTTTAGCTAGAGTCTCTTGGAGCTCGTTCGACATTCGGAGCTCTCACACTCATCCCTCTTCCTTCGACGGACTTCGTTGCCCTCGTTGGAGACTTACACATCGTCGCTACGATATCCCACACACCACACACGCATACAGTATCCAACATGGCCACTGCATCAGTATCGACTCCTATCAAGTCCCACAAGGGACTCTTCTCTTCCCGTACCGCTGGCGGACGCATGCCCTTGACCCCCTCTCCCCGTCAGCACTCCACCACCTCCATCTCAGCAAACCTGAACTCTTCCCCGTTCACCCCTGAGAAGCAGTCGAGCAATGACACCTACCGGGCAACTGGCAAGTCCACCTACAGTGGCAACCTCACCGCACACCTCGCAAGATCCACCACCAACAAGTCGTCTCACCGCGACTCCCCCAAGTCCAACATTGCCAGAGGCGTCTCCACCCCCCGCAAAGCCCTTGAGCTTGGCGTCTCTGACTTCACGTTGACCGGCACCGGAATCAAGACTCCTTCCAGCTCCAAGGCCAAGAAGGGCTCTCTGAGGCAAAAGACCGCCAAGACCACCGTCAACTACGGTGCCGACAGATTTATTCCCAACCGCGGCGCCAGCTCTGCCATCGCCAACGCCGGAAGCAGCAAGCTCGACAGGCCTGACAAGAAGTCCAAGTCGAGCGCCAACGAGGCCTCCAATGTCCTTTCATCCGCTACGGATGACGCCATCGCCGCCTTGGAAGGTCTGAACATCGACGAGGAAGAGCCTGCCACTTACTCCCGCCCTTCTCCCAACACCGTCGCCTACCAAGACTCCCTCGCCAACGCTTGTGGTGTCAGCCTCAACACTCGCATTCTTCAGTTCAAGCCCGCGCCCCCTGAATCTTCGAAGCCCATCGACCTTCGCCAACAGTACAATCGCCCTCTCAAGCCTGCAACTGCAACCTCTGCTCAGTTCCGTCGTCGTGTCGCTACAGCCCCTGAGCGTGTTCTCGACGCCCCCGGACTTATCGATGACTACTACCTCAACCTGCTCGACTGGAGCTCCGGCAACCAGGTCGCCATCGGTCTTGAGCGCAATGTCTACGTTTGGTCTGCCGACGAGGGAAGCGTTAGCTGTCTTCTTGAGACCAGCGCTGACACTTACGTTAGCAGCGTCAAGTGGTCTGGCGATGGCGCATACGTTGGCGTCGGCCTCGGCACTGGTGAGGTCCAGATCTGGGACGTTGCTGAGGGTCAGAAGGTCCGCAGCATGTTTGGCCATGACACGCGCGTTGGCGTCATGGGCTGGAACAAGCACCTTCTCTCTACTGGCGCCCGCAGTGGCCTCGTCTTCAACCACGATGTCCGTATTGCGGAGCACAAGGTTGCGGAGCTCGTCTCGCACACCTCTGAAGTCTGTGGTCTCGAGTGGCGTTCCGATGGTGCTCAGCTCGCCACCGGCGGCAACGACAACCTCGTGTCCATCTGGGATGCCCGTTCTCTGTCGGTCCCCAAGTTCACCAAGACCAACCACAAGGCCGCCGTCAAGGCTCTCGCCTGGTGCCCGTGGAACATGAACCTTCTGGCCACTGGTGGTGGTTCGTACGATCGCCACATCCACTTCTGGAACTCCACCTCCGGCGCTCGCGTCAACAGCATCGACACTGGCTCCCAGGTCACCAGCCTCCGCTGGAGCCCTCACTACCGTGAGATTGTCAGCTCCAGTGGTTTCCCTGACAACTCTCTCAGCATCTGGAGCTACCCCACTTTGGTTCGCAACGTTGAGATCCCTGCGCATGAGAGTAGGGTCTTGCACAGCTGCCTCAGCCCCGACGGTCAGATGCTTGCTACCGCAGCTGCCGACGAGAGCTTGAAGTTCTGGAAGGTGTTCGAGAAGAAGGCCGGAGCTGGCGCTGGCGTGGGAAGCAGCGGCTCCTCTGCCAAGGCAGACATGGTCAAGCAGATGACCATCCGGTGAACGTCTCATTGACCAAGCCTGGCGAATGTCGGTACAACGACGTCAACAAATGTAGGTATATCTCCCTCTGGCATTTGTCGGTCATGGGTTCCTAGCGGGTTGGGGTTCATCTTCAGCGAGGAGTTTGGGATTTTTTGCATCCGACTCTACGTGGCACGAAAGAGCTTCTCCACGATGGGAAATGAAATTGCTTGGTCATGAATTGCGGCACACGATACCACCACTGATAGCTGTTTCGGCTTTGGAGAACGGGGATTTGTAATTTTTTGTTTGGGGAATGGAATTGTACGGTTTACAGCTACGTGCTTCACGTATTCGAGATTGCAGCATCGGTCAAGTAACAAGATGCCTCTCGCAATAAATACTATAAAATCCAAAAAAAAAAAAAAAAAAAAAACACTCGGGGTTTTTTTCAATATGCATCATTGAAAGTGTCGTGAAGGCTTCAATTTTTGGGTCGTGGTACCTCGCAGTGAAAATACCTTAGAAGGCAGGGGCTCAAGTGGAGGGTCCCTCCTTCTCCCCCGCGTTCCCGATAATCCATGCAGATGCCATCTTATCGCGTTATCCAATTCACCCAAGATAATCGGTTTAGTGGGGCTCGGGTGATCCTCAGCCTTTCCGCTGCCGCTGCCGCCTAACGTGCTGAGGCTGACTAATATCAATCGCCTGTTCTCTCAATGTCGAAAGGAAATCTACCGAACAAAGGCAACCTAGACCCATACACAACCACCGCCGAAAACAGGGCCCCAACAAGACGTCCTGCCACGACCCGAGCCTCACATTTCCGACGAGAGCGTATCGCACAAAAACAAATACCAGGCTTGCAGTTTCCTTTCCCTGCGTGCGCGTGCCATTCTGGGCAGTGAGAGTGGTGGACCAGGCAAGCGATCCTCCATCGGCAAATCAACCAAAACCTGGAATCTAGGAAGCACACCCAGCCAGTTTGGTGCTTATCAATTGCGACATCGACTCAACCGAGAAATAAGAATCGAGAAGGAACTCCGATCCGGTACCCGTGACACCGCAGTCATCCATCAGTTCGCTATAGCATCAGCAACCTTCACCGAGACACCACCGGACGTTCCTCCGCTAGCCGAGTGATAACCCGCCCACCAACGCCAACATGTCCAACAACGCCGTTGGCAACGTCTATGAGCAGATTATCAATGAGGTAATCAACTCATCGCGCGTCGATTTCGAGGAGGGCGGTGTAGACGAGAACGTGTTGGAGGAACTTAAGAAGGGCTGGCAGGAGAAGTTATCGCAACTCGAGGTCGCAAGCTTCCCATGGGATCCCAAACCAGATGCTGCACCCCCCGCTGCTCCCGCACCCGCACCTGCCGCACCCCCACCGCAAGCCGCCCAGTACTCGCAGGCCCAGCTGAGTCCTCAGCTGCCTCTGCAAGGCGTTCCGCTTCCTGGTCCTGCCCCCGGAAACCCTGCTATTAAGGAGGAACCATACATCAAGCCCGAGCCTGGCGTCCAGAATGTTGCCTTGAACCCGTCTCAACAGGAAGGTAGCAACCAGGCTGCCTTCCGCGCTGCCCAGCACATCAGAGGTCAGTTCGGCGAGAAGGGTGCCGGCTCAATCAACGCGATTCAGTCCTCTGCTACAAACAGACCCGCCGGCCAGCCTCCCATGCCGCAAATGCCCGGCCAGCCTGCCCAGCAACATTATCGCCCACCCCAGCCGCAGGGCCAACAACAGCGGCCTGCAAGCAACGGTCAGCCTGGCGTGAACCCCTCGCAGACTGATGGCGCCGATGATGACTTCGACTTCGAGGGCGTCCTGATGCAGCGCAACGCTGACGGCACTCAGCGTGAGCTCGGCCGCGTCGACATTGATCGCATGATCCATGCGCGAATTGCTGCCAACGCAAAGAGCATGGAGGGTGGCGGTCTTATGCTGCCTCTCCAAGAGGCTACGAAACACAAGGCCGCGGCCACCTCGCGCTCCAAGGGCAAGGAACATGGCGTTGCCCCCTACGATGGCTATGACGATGATGAGCTCGACGAAGATGCAATCAACTCGGATCTCGACGACCCTGATGAGGATAAGGATGATGACGAAGTCGACGACGAGGGTCTGGGCCACATCATGCTCTGCATGTACGACAAGGTCCAGCGCGTCAAGAACAAGTGGAAGTGTATCCTCAAGGACGGTGTCCTTACGGTGAACGGCAAGGAGTACGTTTTCCACAAGGCTACCGGCGAGTACGAGTGGTAAAGCGGCCCTTCCGCACACACCCGAGATACACACCTAGGCAAACCGACTAGCTTCCTCGGGTATGTCGAACCTCGAGCTGGAAATTGCGATTCTATAGACTGGCACGAAGCCAAAATGGCTCGCCCGCCAGAGCCTCGTCGCTATACTTCTGGTCTCTTTTTGCGACAGTTGCCCATATCAATTTCATCATCTATGCGGTTCTCGCTTCGTCACAGCGCAGGCACGGGAAACGAGAAATGTGGAAAAGACTGCACCTCGCGATCAGCACCTTCGACTTGGCCACAGCCTCTTCCTTCGCTCTTAAAATTTTTGCGTTATGAAGTACGAAGTGGTCAAGGGTGCGTAGTCACGAGCGGCGAGAAGGCGAGAGTATGATTAAAAGTTTTCTTAACCGGGGAAAGGGACGACGAGCAACGCAGTCTGGCAGTTTGGTCCGTCCATTTAGGGAGAGGTGCAAGGGACACAGAGTTTTCTTTTCCTTCTTCGTTCGCGTTAGGGAGGCTTTTCTATGGAATGCGGGCCTCCTTTTTACGACAACACAACAACCAAAAAAAGTGTACAACAGCACCCATGGGTTTTCTCTAGAATAGAACTGCTGCCACAACATTCCTCGCGTGCCTCGGGGTGAGACCGGTCCGTCTTTAGCAGGCTGCTAAGCTGTTCAAGCTTTTGCTTGAATGTGACATTTCAGAAAGGGAGCTCGCGAGTCCCCACCGACGTTTTCCAAAAGCTAGCGATTCTTTTCTTTTCTGGCACATATGATTCCATCACTCTGTTAAGGTTTAAGACAAGAGACAGGTCTAGCCAGCGACACATCCCATCCCGCGGAGGTAGCCCTCTCTCTCTCTCTCTCTCTTGCTGATGGTGGTGGTGTGTTGAAGCGAACAAACGCCCGTCGGGCCTTCTCTCCAATCCCCCCCGCCCTTCCATTGAAGCCGAGACATGCCTCACGCTCTCGCTTCAACCCGTCACCGCTTCTTCGAAGGTGAGTCTTGTGGAACGCGAGATGCTGTTCTTCTGAATCATCATGGGAAGAAAGAGGCCGGGGAGGGCCCGCGCGGGCGGCCCCCCAAGTGCCGTCGTGGTGGGCGCTATCTGAACGTGAGTTTGAAACATGTGGCATCGCTAAGAGCTTTTCGGGTGCCGGCTCGAGTTTGTTTGCTTGCTTTTTCTTCTGTCCTGGTTGTCTTTGCTATCAGGGTGCGCTTCGGTCCTCTGAAATCTCCGTGTCCGTCTTGGTGATGGGGCCAAGAGGAGACGGGGGAGTATGGATAGATGATGCCAGCAGATGTGGAAACGTGATGATGTTTAGTCTTGGAACTATCGCGGGCAGCTGCTCGGAGGTCAAATACCGGCCGTGTATCTGGATCAAAAATAAGCAGGCTGCAGATGCCACGATCCAGTATCAGACAACACCCAATGTCCTACTAGCTCGTAGGGGCACGTCGATCCCCGGTCACTTACAGAATTCAGTCGCTCACAATCCTTTTGATCAAGGAATGGAACACCGAGTGGGATATATCCCTGGTATAGTTGAGGCTCGGGAGGCCCTGGTATCTTGAGCCTGGTGAGGGATGGCTGCTGCCTCGGGGAGTTGGGCCTTTCACAAAAAGCTGCGCGGTATCTCACACGACGGTGATAGCAATGTCGAAACCAGCATACGCTGCGGCCCTCAAGCGTTGTCTTCCTTTCCGTGGTCTTGCCTGAATATCTGACTGCCGTCAGAAGTGTCTTCTCATGGGAAGCTTTCTGGCTAGTCGTGCGTCTCGAACGAGGTGCGAGGAACGGCGTACTGTCGCGACCCGATGACGATGCACAATATACATCTACTGCTGCTAATATACAGGCCATACGGCATGTCCTTGTGCTGTCCTGACCGTGTGTGAACTCCGTAGTCGGTGTAGATGATAACAACGATTATCAAGGAAAAATGGCACGTCGTTCCGCACCGCCTCGTTCTAGTCCATCAGTCGACGCCTGCTTGGAGCGACTACGTGAGTCCGTACCTAGATCACGGTCCTGCTGTTTTCTATAGTTGTTCAAGTTGGATGAGACAGAGTCGATAAGAAGATGGGCTTCACCTTCCTTGAACGTCACGAATACAAGCTACAACACAGGCTGAATCGAACCTATTCCGTCACCAGTGTATGTACGAAGCAAGTGACAATATGACCAAGACAATTTGCAGCACTGTCCTTCAATACTAAAGGCATTTTGACCGATGATTGACACGCTTGAGCATCCTGATGTGTGAAAGCTCAGATTTCCACTCCGCTTTAGACACCGCGTGATGTATGCCGCTTTTATACCAAACCGAGAATTAGCTAGCATGGACAACTTTCAATGGCACACTCAAAGAAACGTTCCACTGCTGCTCGCATTAGTCTGATTCATTCCAGCCGTCACCGAGGCACGTCGTCTTCCTCCCATGATGCTTAGGTCTCTTTTCGAGGCACCGCCCTCTTCGCAGCCGCCAAGAAATGCCACGATGTCACGAAACGGACATTTGATCCCGCGGAAAACGGTTTTACGATTGCGTGAATTGCACAAGCGATAGCTCCGCGGAGCAGCAAGCCCCCCTTCTCACCCCGTGGCAAAAACCAGAACTGCCAGCAAGCCACGAAAGGCATTTTGGCGAGGGTCCCGCACCGGAACGGAACGTCGATCACCACAGCCTGATCATCGAATTTTCCCATCGCCTCTCACACACCTCTAAACTCGATGGCGACGCCCACGAAACCTCGCTTGGTAACCTCTTTTCATCCCCATC